TATTATTACTATTATTACTATTATTAGCTTCAGGTGTGCAAAACAATGTAATAGTTAGACATTTGCACCACTCACAAAGTGATAACCTCCTGCCCCTGCTTTTGATCCGCATTTGGAAGCCCACAGATGCAGAGGACAAACTGTATGCATTGATCTATGCCTTTTTATATAGGGGACTTGACTATCTGTGGAGTTTGGTATCCATGAGGGGGTCCTCAAATAAATCCCCCACAGACACCAAGGGACAAATTACGATTTCAAGGAGTCAAAAGTCATACACGTACATGGACTTTCGACTACAGACGTAGGAGTTAGGGAGTTCCCTAACCCCTACGTTGTTCAAGGGTCAACTTTGGCAAATTAAAATGTGTGATATTGACCAATAAAGGAAACTGTATGTCAAAATTATTTGACCTAGGAACTCAGATAGATGATAGATGATAGATAGATAGATAGATAGATAGATAGATAGATAGATAGATAGATAGATAATCAGCAATCAGAATCACATGGAACTCTGAAAAAATAAACTTTTCAACCTGCCCTGTGCTGTGCTCACTCAGGAAATTGACAATTATGCATTTAGCATTCTCTCAAGTCATAGGCATGTCTAGAAGAAAAAAAAATGAACAAAGGGAACAATAATTCCGGTGAAAGCATTGTGTGAAGTGTGTTTCCACTTTCAGAACACTTCCCTGCCTCGGACCTCTTGGCTGTCCCTCGGTCCCCTGGCATGAGGATCCGAGTAAGAGCGCATGTGGCACAGTGTGTTATGTCGATGTATTATTTTCCAGTACTTTCAGGGCTCAGGCCCAAGTTCTTTGATGTGAGTTATTTATATTTAACAACAGTGGCTGAAGATGAAAGACTGAAGACGCCCTCTCGTGCCATTTCTTTGTTTGTGAAAATAATCACTTGGTGCCGTTAGTGATGATGTCATGAGTCGACAAACACAAATGCCTCAGGGACCCTCTGTTCTGCTTCTCCTCCCCGCCAGTGGAAATCGTTGGGCAGTGGAGCAAGTCCTAACTAAAATTCAGATGCTGAATTAGTCCTGTTGTTTTCTGTTGGTGTTCTAATGTGTTTTGGGAAACCTGTAAGAAACCAAGTTTACTATACTCTTAACTGGCTGGCAGTGCAGACGTGCTGAAGGAAGAAGAGTCATTGTGAGTTGGTCTTATTCGTTGGTACTGAGTCAGGAGTCTGGAGGGGAGCCCTCCCGTGTTGGAAAGAGGACGCGTTTTGGTGAGAAGCTGTGGTCACTGAAACCGTGTGTCCTGGGGCAGACTCAGGCTCCTCCTATGTGGAGATAGAAGGTCAGCACTGTGAGTCCATGACATCCCTGACACACATTGTTCCTGGACTTCATTGGGACATGCTGGCCAAGTGCTGGCACTGCCTCTGTCTGGTAACATAGCATTGGCCCACACAATAACACTCGGGGCCTTCAGGGGAAAAAGGAGGGAGATAAGGTCTTTCCTGCCCATGGTGCAGGTTTGTTCTGAGAAAGAAAGATAAACGCGGAGCGCTTGAGGGTGATAAATACACACATCACACTCTGCGGCTGTATTTAGTAATAACAGAAGTCACAGTCGCTGTTGCTAGCCAGCTCCTGACTCCTGTATGTAGACACCTGTATCTAGATATCCAGATAGCTATCAATGTCTAGATACCCACCTCAGTGTAGATATCTAGATATGGAAGTAAAGATACAGATAAATACGTAAGTATAAGCTATTTATATATTTATATATCTACAGATTACACACACACACACACACACACACACACACACACACACAGAAACTCAGCAAAGCTCAGGGTCAGTATTTAATACATTTTCACCAATCTCAAACAAGGCTTGTAGAAGTTCACACAGTGACCAAGTCACAGACTCTAGAATAAAAACCAGTGGAGCAAAGTGGAAAACATCCTAGGTTGGACAGTTGGAAGGACCTGAGCGCGAACCTTCACCCTGACCTCGGTGACCTTTGGCAAGTTTCCTAAATTCTCTGAGCCTCAGCTTCCTTGTCTGTAAAAGGACTTTAGTTTCCATTCCATTCTCATAGAGTTTTTGTGAAAATCAAGCGACATTCAGGGTACAACCTAAGCTTGGTGTTGTACTTTGAGCAAATGGCAGATACCACCATGACATCATTCTGTGCCCAGTTCAGTGTCCCCACCCCCGCACTGCTGCAGACACGGGCACGTGACTCCACTCGTGGTCCTGCTGGTCTGTGCAGAGATGGACATTAATGAAGTAAATAAAACCATCACTCATAATAATTGTGCAATCACAGTTCTGGTAAGAGTAACAATGGAAATCTTGGTGTGCTGTGGATGAGCCCATGGGGAGACCCCATCCAGCCTAGTTTAACCCACACCCTCTTTGGCACAAGGGCAGAATCTGGGCATGAGGAGAGGACCGACTGCTTCTCTCCAGCTGGGACCCTGGAGCCTGCTCCTCACCCAGCTCCCCAGCTCACAGGTTAGCACAAGGTCACGGCTGACTCTCTGGGCAGCCAGCTCCTCCTCAGAACCCCACTCCCAGTTCTTTGTTCTGTGGGAAGAGCAGGAGCTGGCTCATACTGGTTTAAGACACATCAGTGACATCTCCTGACTGCAATAGGGTGACGTTGCCTCCTGATCTTCTTCCAACTTCTGCTCTCATGACGTTAGGCTGCCAAGCTGTGCTGGAGTCTAGGAAGCAGATAAAAGGCAAACGTCTCCTGGGACAACCAGCAGGTCGTCAGCGCTGCTCACTTTGCGCCACCTTGGAGTTGAAGTATTTGTAATCATGAGCCTCTTCTCCAAAGGCCTTTCCTCTGGTGACACACAGATGTTGCCAACAGTCTTGTTCATCTACCATGCATTACTTTATGCAAGATAAATAAAATACAGAAAATAGCACATACCTGTGCTAAAATTGTGTTTGCATATGTTACACCCAAAAAGAGAAAAAGAAAAAAATTAAAAAAAAAAAGTCAACAGGAGGAACTTTGAGAAAAGGAGAGAGAGCCGCCAAGATTGTACTCTTAATGAACTTTCAAATCAGATCTGAATTCAGTGCTAAAATCCAGGTTTTGGTTTTGTTATGTGGACCCACCAACATTGGCAGCCACATCTGAGGGAGAAATTGTGTCCTCTGGCCACCATGCCCAGGCTCGTGAAGGGAGGGTCAGTGCACATGCATCTCCTGGGTGGCCCCTGGCCTGTGTGACAGTAGGGGTGCCAGCAGGGTCCTGTGTCAATGCCAGCAGTCTGCAGTGACTGCGCTCCTAGTCGTGTTGCCTGAAACATCCCCTGACTTCTCAACTCAGGAACCAGATTTCAGCCAAAGCCCAAAGAAGCAGGACAAACCTGGCTCAGTGCACATGTGTCACAGGCAGAGCCCTCAAGTGCCGTTCAATCAGACAGAGCGAGCGGGCGAGGCCTGCACTTTCCAATGCCCACTTAAAGGCATCAGCAGCTTTAAGCAGTGCTGGAGGTGGAATGAAATTCTGAACGTGGCACAAACGAGAGACCTGGTTTCATTGTGTTTATCCATCTGGGATGAGCCAGACATTTAAATGTCCCTTCTCCCTGATGCCTGCCCATAATATATGCTCATTTTTCCAAATTATTTGCTGCACCAATTGAACAATCAGAGTTGTTCCTATGGACCATTCACTGTATACGGATTCTCAACTATGAGGCCCAGCTAGTCTTATCCCCATTTCACAGGTGGGGAAAGTGAGGCCTCGTTTACATCACTTGTCCAAGGTCAGAACGGTGGAGCTGGGATTAGAAATCAGATGTCCTCCCTCCCTCTCATCACTGAGCCATGACCCATCAGTCAGCTTGACACACAACAACTATCTGAACATCCTAATTGTTTGCAATGTTCCCTAGAGGAATTCCTTTTTCTTACATAAAGAAAATTATCTGGACATTTCCAGGCCGGTAGGAGCTTGGAAAAGGCATCTGTGAAGTAGACATAGCATAGATATATTTCTGTGCCCTTTTCATATCAGTGTGTTAGTGCTTGCTAATGAGTGGATTTGTTCCCCAAAACCATTACTATTACAATTAACATCGTATGTGATTTAAATGCAAAATGCAATGGTGATGGCTGGATTCTTTTCCTTGTTATATTTTATGTAGGATATCTAGAGTTCCATAAGTATAATCTGAGGAGAAAAAATAGGGTAACCCAGAAAAAAATGTTGAAAACTTTCAATTTGCAATTCACCTGCTCGTAAATATTACTTTCTTTTGTTGGAATGTTACATTTGGCAGTAAAAGTACCAGCTGGAAGCCCTGTCCACCTTCCCTTTCATCGTTCCCTAAATAGAGCAGCCCATTGAAATTCCTCGCCTTAAAAACCAGACTCAGATGCGAACACCTCTGTCTTTATGCACTATTTCTCTCTTGCAAAGGGAGCAGCCAAGGGATGTAAAGGAAAAACAAAACAAGCAAACAGACAAACAGGCAGTCTCTGAAAAATGAATGCCCCTAAGAGGCTGTCTCCGGGGAATTGCAAATATTAGTCCCCTTCTGAGGAAGCAAGGTCTCCGAATTTCTTAGAGATATTTCCCCATCAACACAACAAGCTCTGTAATGAGTTAACTAGTTAAGAACTGGCTGGAGAGGCAGTCGCTGCGCTTTCCTGAGATGGCAGAAGCACAGAGCACTGTTTGGTCTGGAGCTGAGCCTGGATGGCGGGCTCTCCTGACAGGCTGGCTGTGCCGGGTGGCTGTCCCTCCCTGCCTGCAGCCTCCTTCCCTCTCCACCAGGTCCCGGGCAGCTCTCTCCGTCCAAATGGGAGCTGAGTTTGCAAGCTGCCAGGGGACGCAAAGGGCTGGCGGTGCTGATGTCAGAGGCAGCAGACAGTTGTGATTGGATCTAATTAGACTTTGCAGCAGCAAATAGACAAGCTCCCTGCGTGATTGGCTTCAAAGTGGCTGGTGCCCAACAACTAGCAGAGGTGCCAAAGTGGAAGCCCTGCATTTGGAGCCCAGACCCGGAGAGGCCGCCGCCGGGAGGAAAGTGGAGAGCCCAGACCGCCCGCTGGGCGCGCCTTTCCTTCCCGCCCCGCGGGTTCCTGGAGCGGTGGGCACCCAGGCTCCGATCACAGGCTTGCAGCCCAGCTGGAAACAAGTGACAGGACAATTGGAGAGACAGGGAGGGAGGGGGGCCGCGGGAGTGCTCGGTCCTAAAAAGTGAGCCTGCTCCCTGATTTGCAGAAGCAGAGCGTTTAGCAGAGGCGGCAGCCGCGGCGGGAGCAGGAAAGGCGAAACTGGTTAAGAAAGGATTCCTGCCCTGCTCTACTTCCCGAGCCTCAGCCATGGCATCGGTGTTGGGGACCAGCAGAGGGTCCGGAGGGCTGAGTAGTCAACTCAGATGCAAGTCAAAGAGGCGTCGGAGACGGAGGTCCAAGAGGAAAGGTAAGGACCTGGTGCCGGGTGCCGGCTACGGGGTGCCCTGCAAACTCTCCTGCGATCTGTGGGCTCCGCGATTTCCCGCGGCTCCCCTGTAGGTTGCTGATGGGGCGTCAGAGCAGAGCGCTCCGAGTTCAGACCCCTTTGCAAACAGTCAGAGGCTTCGGCCAGCCCAGAGGGGACAGTGAACAGATCAGAGGGCTCAGCAGAGTGTTGGCTAGGAGTCAGTGCTGAGGAGAGGGGTAGGGGACTGGCCGTTCTTTTGACTAGAGGTTGGGTCCCTCCTGGTCACTCCTCGGCCATCCGTGCTGCCTCTGACCCTCTGAGAGGCAACATTAGCACACGGTGCCAAAGGAAACAGTCACTTATGCCAGCATCCCTAAAAACGAGGGATGAGAGACCTCATGCCAGCTTTCCCGTCCAAATTGTCATGGAGGAGGAGTGGGCAACACCCTGCCAGCCGCCTCCCCAAACTGGCTGACAGTTTCTACTGTGTGTGCTTCTGTTGTTTTGTAAACACTGGGATCAACTGCGAGCATGGGCTTGTCCAGGAGAAATAAGTGGAAATTAATACATAAAAAGAGAAATAGGCATTATAGCTTGTTAGTGGGGAAAACTACAAAGCAGAAAAGGAGAAGCAACAGCCGATGACAGGTTGCTGCTGACACCCTGTTGTGTTGGTGCCTGGTTACTGGTCTTCTTGCTGTCAGACTCCCTGAAGTCAGCAGCCCCAACCCCAGCCCAGGGCTTCCTTCCACAGAGGTGCTGATGGAAAACCAGCCACAGCTCCTTCTCCAGAGGCCATGTGTTAAAATGTCCACACAGCCCGTGTGTGCACCCTGCAAGGGTAACAAGTCTCCCGGTGCCACCTGCTCTGCCCGCAGAAGGGCTGCTGACAGACAGCTCCTTGTCAGGGGTCTGCAGGAGAAAGTTCAGTTCTTACATGATTTGAAAAGTGTTGCCTTTTTTAGAAAGTGAATACAAAGCCATAAAGAACAGATGGAAAGACACCACTGTAACAAACCAGGTTTTCCATTTTTTCTAGGGCAGGAGGCCTCGTTAGGTAGGGCTGTGTCTAAGTCCTCCCCGGAGAATGTCACTTCTGTAGTGGCCAATGATAAGTTTGTGCCCCATCTTTTCCTAACTGCTCCCAAACAGCCCTCAAGTCCTTGAGGACTTCTCCCAATAATAGAAATTAGCTAGACACTTTGAAGATATAAATGCCAATATGAAACAATCGCTAATTATGATTGCATGTCAGGACCTCAGGGAGCCCAGCAGCAAGTTCCTTGAGAGGTGTCAGAGCCCTTGGTTTACAAGCGAGGGATGTAGTAATCCTCGTTAACTCTGGAGCTCATGAAACGAATGTCGGCCGGCTGTTCACTTTGCGATCTGAAATTCTCATTTTCAAACAGATCTGTTAAGGTCTTTCCAAAATCACACAAACAGAAAGTGACATCGATATTGACAAAAATCGCAAAATTTAATGAGTGTAACTTTGAAAAGAGGCAAAAGGAAACATGATCTGATGTACTTCAAGTCTTTATGCTCCCCAATATTTTTAAGTCTCTTTAAATATTTTAAAGACTGATCATATTTCACAATAAAGCAATCTATAGAAATAAAATATAAACTGATGGACATGGGTGCCTTTCTCCAAATTTATTTTTCTTACTTTTAAATGTCAGTCATACCAGCTTAGGAAGCATTCAATTTGGGAAAGAAAAATAAGAAATCTGGAGGAAGACTTCATTGGCTATAAACTTAACTATAACAATTCCCATTAAAATTTTTATGTGAAAAATTGCTGTGTTTTGGTTACTTTGGATATACTAAGTCTCTTAATTTTCATAGCCAGAAATGAGTGGGGAAGGGTAACCAGGAGCGTGCACTAATTTCTATTACTCAGAGATGTACGTGCGGGGTGACTGCTGACTGCTAGCTTGGGAGGGGAGTCAAATCAAACTGCAAAATACTTACTTTTTAGGAAAAAGTGAACAACATAAATATAAGCAGTCAACTTAAAAGGAGACATAGCAATTATGGGACAGTCAGTTGACATTCACATTTTCCTGGGAGCATAGTGGTGTATAAAATATAAGCCTAGTGATTACAGGGGCTGGGTGTTGTTTTCGTCTTCCATCAGCACAATGGTGAATTCAAACTATGTTTTACTACTCATGACTCTTAACAACAGTAATTGAATAGAATAGTCTCAGCCTTTACGCGGGTCTAACATTAGAACTCTCCTGTATCACAATTTGGAATCCAGGTGTGTGTGGATGCTGGCTAAGGAGTTTCAGTAAGGCCCCCTGGAGCACCGAGGGAAACCACGCTGAGCACACCCCACGGGCTCCTGCGATGCGGGAACAGATGCCTGAGAAATGAACGTTAGGCTTTCTTGCCAGTGGTATTTCTTTTACCACCTATTCTAATGAACAAGAGTCAGCGTTGAAGGTTCAGGGGAACCCTCAGTTTCCAGTGCTGCGAAATGCTATCAGCTTTCTGCATGCGTACTCCAAAAGTGGCTTTGGCAGGATCTTTTTATTACTCTTTTTATTGTCAAGATAATCTATGGGCTCTGAAATGAAAAACTCGGTAGCTACAGCTTAAGTGTAGAATTGATGCAATACGTTCATTATTAATAAGTATGAGCCATCACCTTGGAAGTGAAGTATTTTCCCGTCCTGGGTAGTCCTCAGTCATCACACCACACAGGAAGCGGCATAGTCCAAAAAAATCCAAAATAGAAATAAAAATAAAAATGGAAAAACTTCTTAAGTAGCCAGAACTTGCATTTCTCTCTCAGACAAACTTTAGGGAAGACAGTCAAAAGGAACCTCACCCACCCACCAATTGAGTCCCTTCTGTTAGCTTATTGGGACCTGGTTCTGTACCATTTCTGCATTTTCTCTGTGTGATATTTTTCATTGGGACTTGCTTTTAGACATTATTGATGAACGATTTACATTTTCTGTGCAAATGAGAAATGTCAAGATTTGGCTTTTGTATATGAGAAAACCAGGCAGCTAAAAAATAACCTGAAAAGGACAAGGAAACCATCTCATTTTTCTACATGTGGTTAAGGAACGTCCGCCATGTAACGTGTGAAAGCCACGTCAGTTTATTCTGCTCCTGTTTCATTCAGAGACTTCCAACAAATGCTAGCAGTGCTGGTAGTTAGACTTGTCTGCTCCCTGCCCTCCCTGTGCCCACAGAGCTCCGTCCTCATGGACAATCTGGAAACACTGCTGTTTCTGGGGGATTCACGCACAGCCACCTTGACGCTGTGTGGTTAGATTAGTCTGCCATTATTTGAAAAGAACTGAACCTATGGATATTATAGAAGGTGTATATTTTAACCCAAAATCACCAAAGTAAAGATTTAAGGTTCTTTAAATTAGTATCAGCTCCAACAGGCAGAACAAGGGGCAATACTCATCAAAACAGTGTCGTCTATGAGGAGAAAACATTTAAAATGTCATCAATTAATCTCTGAACCATTGCATGGTAATATGTCTGAAGAATTTCATAAGTGTGTTTTTAATTATTAACATAGTACATATATTCTGTTTCATATTTGTTGTTGTTTCTTTTATGCGTTTAGTGTTCCTAAAAAAAAGCTATATATTAGCATGAAATGCATTCTGTAAATAACAAATGTATTTAATATTTGATCCATTAGCATATATAATGTGTAAAATGACTGAAGTTTCTGGAATTTTTTTAAAATTGTTCTTTTAATGCAAACACGTTAGGAAATGGATTGGGAACTAAGCCAGAATCAGCTGGTTCCACGAGGTAAGCAGGAGGAGAGGGTTTTAAGTGCATCAATCACTGAAATTGAGAGAGAGAGAGAGAGAGAGAGAGAGAGAGAGAGAAGGAACTTTAGAGAACTATTTGAAATGTTGCATAAACAATCATCTGTGAGTCTGTCTAATTGAGCTTGGGCATCGGCACATGTCTTTTCTTTTTTATTTTTAGGCATTTGACAGCAAAATAAGTTAACTCTTGAAATGTAGACCTAGTTCCAGGGTGATGGGTTATAAAGAGCTTTAGCAAGGTGAAGGTGAATTCTGCCAACACCAACCCAAGGTGCAGCCCTGGGAAAGTAAGACGAGGAGTCACGGGAAAGAGGGAGATGGGCCAGGTGCTGGGCGCTGGGAAATGCACATAAAACGCTGGCAAAGGGAACAGAATGAGTGGAGCAGAGGAATAGCAGGCATGGGCTTGCTGTGAAATGAAGTTCTGTGAAAAGTTAATGGCAGTGAGGCTGTGCCAAGGACAGGTAGAGGGGCTGTGTGGCTCTGTACCCCCGGCAATGCAAACCAACATACCCGTGTGGCAGTGGGGACACAGCCACATCCCCTCACTCTGACAGCTCCGGAGGAAGGACTGGATTTAGTGATGAAATTAAATTGATTAAACCGTTTGCCACCATCTGATGGTGTAGGGCTTTCTTTTTTTCTTTCTCTTTGTAGAATTTGTGTTAGTACCTCTGGTTATGATGATCCGTGTCATAGCAGTGATCTGAGATTGTTTTGAGGGTATTAGATATGATAAGTGAATGTGAATTTAGAATAAAAATATGGAATTCATGTATCTGTATCTAAATAGTGGTGACTAGATTGTTGCACAAGTCCTGTTGCAAGCATTTTGTAAGGAAATACAGAATTAGAAAATTGTACTTCTCTGGTTTGAGGAGTGGGAAGATAATTTATGCTCTGAAAGCATCCAGTGTTCAATTTAAAAACCACACACACACACACAAACACATTTGTTGTGTATATATATGTACATATACACAGTAAGGACAGTTGAAACAGATGAACAATTTTTATATCTGCCTACTTCTTTTTCTAAAATGTAAGAAAGTGACGTTCAGTGTTTTGGGAATATGGACAGTTTGGGGCAACTCATAAAATCACAAACAATTATGCTGCCTCGTCCTTCCTCATTTAAATAGGCCCTGCACTATTACTAAAGGTAAATTAGGCTCTTCATTA